CTCCCGCGCCTGCCGCAGGTGGAGCGGCAGCCGCATCCAGCCTCAGCCGCCGGGTGGCCCCGCGACTCTGCCTCGGGTTCCCTGCAGGAACGGTGGGGTCTTGCCCAGCGCAAGGCGGCTTCTGGGAAAACGAAGTCAGCCGCCTCGCTCCCCCGTGGCCAGCGCTGGCCACACACGCACGCGCAGGTGTCAGCGTGGGGAGGGCTGCGCCACTCGGGCAGCCGCCTCCGATTTTGAAAGTGCCAACACGGGTCCCTGCCTTTCCTTGGCTTCTGAGGAGGGAAAAGTGGTCACAGCCCCAGGGCAAGGTTCGAGGTCCAGTGGGACTCCCTGACCTCGGGAGGACAGAGATGGTCCCTAGGACGCTATTGGCCCCAGCTGGCCTTGCCTGGAAATGGTGTCCAGGCCCGAGCTGGTGTGGCCTGAACGTCCAGCCACAGCCACGCTTGTGAACGCAGGGTCCAGGCACGAAGCGCCCGGCGAGGGCAGGGGCCTCGCCCGGCCGGGCAGTCCTGGGGCAGATCCCGCTGCGGGCAGCAGGAGCGGCTGGCCTGGGGACCTCACACCAGTGCGCTGGCGGTCCTGGTCCCTGCCGGACACCCAGCAGCACCGCAGCCCCCTCCGCCTCTGGTGGGGGCGGGGCAGTGTGCTTCCCCCAGGGCCGGCCAGGAGGCGAAGGGCCCCCTGGCCGAGGCGGGTCTGGTCTGCAGCTTCGGAGCGGGGGGCGGAGCGTGGTCTGCAGCACACACTTGCCCTGGGGGCGCCCACCAGGGGCTCTGCAGCCGCGTGTGCGCGTGTGACACGCATGTGTGCCCGCGCACCTGAGCATGTGTGTGGTGCGTGTGCTCGTGTGCAGAGGGTGTGCCTGAGACGCTTGTGCTTGGGCACGTGGGGTGTGTGGGTCTGTGGGGGGCGCCCCTGTGGGGGCGCGTGGGGGCGCCCCTGTGGGCGTCAGGCAGCACAGGGCCACGCCTGCCTGTCGCCAGCGGCTTCACCTGCCCGCTCTGCAGAGTCTGGCCACCTGGGAGAGTGAGAACAAGATCCGCTGCACACAGACGCTGCTGGAAGGGGACGGCCCCAAAACCTACTGGACCCGGGAGCTGGCCAACGACGAGCTCATCCTGGTGAGCGCAGAGCCCCGCCCCTGCGCAGGGCGACTCCCACTCTGCCGGCCCAGGAGGTGCGGGACGGCGCCGGGAACGGTGGGCCGGGCCAGCGGTGGACTGGGCCGCGGGGCTCAGTGCTTGGGTGAGACCCGGCTGAGCCCTGGGCGCCGGGGTCTGAGGCCACGCCCACCGCGAGAGGCCACGCCCACAGCTGGCGGCCACGCCCACAACACGAGGCCACGCCCCGGGCCTGCGCACGCCCTGCGGGGAGGAGCCCACTTGGGAGGCGCCCAGAGGTCAGGCCCGGCCCGGGTCTGGTCCGGCCGGGCCCCGGGTCTGCTCGCACCGGCTTCCGC